GTAGTAGTAGTAGTAGTAGTAGTAGTAGTAGTAGTAGTAGTAGTAGTGGTGGTGGTGGTGGTGGTGGTGGTGGTGGTGGTGGAAGTAGTAGTAGTAGTAGTAGTAGTAGTAGTAGTAAGTAGTAGTAAGTAGTAGTTAGTAGTAGTTAGTAGTAGTTAGTAGTAGTTAGTAGTAGTTAGTAATAGTTAGTAGTAGTTAGTAGTAGTAGTAGCAGCAGCAGGAGTAGTAGTAGTAGCAGCAATAGAAGTAGTAGCAGTAGAAGAAGAAGAAGTAGTAGTAGTAGGGGTAGGGCACAGCGCTTCCTACTAAGCGAAGGTTTCTGGCTGTCACGCCAGGCGAAGGTGGGCCTTATCATCCACCTTTGTGGCAGCGTCAACGCAAAGAAGATAGTAGGTGTGGTAACTGTAGTAATAAGACTTGTAGTGGGGCAGTCGGAGTGATAGAGGCACTGGTATTGGTAATAGTAGGGGTAGTGGACGGCAGTGGGAACTAGTAAAAAATGCAAATCAAGTATAGACAGCGCTACCCCCTTACTGGGAAAGGCCCTACCAGCGAGCTAGCACCCCACTGGGAAGCTATCTCTCTACTAGGAAAATACCAAGACAGAAGGACCATAAAACCAGCGGACTAGGAGACCAAGGGACTAGGTCTAGGTGCCCACTGGACCAAGAGACCGAAGGACCAGGGGACCAGCGGAGTAGGAGAGCAAAAAACCAGCAGACCAAAGGATCAGGGGGCCTAAGGACCAGGGGACGTAGTCAGGATTGCTTTTTTTGATCCTGTTATTTTTTCTTTTTGATCCTCATGCCGTGCTGTCTTCCAGATCTGGCCACTTTCTCATTAAAAGGGACTTGGTGTGGAACAAAAACATTTTAACATCCTGCAATTTACTGAGTTGTTTGATCGTTTCCCACCATGCAGTCCATGTTCAACGAGGCCCACCTTCCCCAGCTTCCGGGACAAGCGAACTTTCACCTGGGCGACTGGCTTAGTCAGCAAGCCATGTGGAGCCCTTGAAGCAGCTTGAAGCTAAGTTGAAACGTACACTCCCTGCAACAATCATGGAAGCGGACAACCCCGCGTTTGTAGAGGAAAATTGTCTTTCCAGGAGCCATTGTCCACTTCCATGATTGTTGCAGGAAGGGTAGATACTGTGACTTGGGATGAGCAGCAAGAAAATGTGGTCCTCCATGGTCCTCCGTGCCTCCCCATTCTGGGCCATAATTATATCAAACAAAGACCAACCGTTATAAACTTGTACACCATTGGTGTTTGAAACCACGGCCAGGCATCCGCCACTCACTAGTCTTCGGCTTCATGCATGTCAAAAAGGTAGAGCGAATCCACCACAGTTTGCCAAAGCAATCGAAAGTGGGTCTTCGAACTGTCTGAGCTGAGAATCATCAATCTAGGATGATCTGGGCACTCAGCTACCCCACTGGCGGCGATTGTCCCTCAGGTGCTTGAATCGCGGCCAGGGCCCCAGGATCCTGGTCAGCAACTGGTGGGAATTTATTCAAAGAGAGGTTCTGAACCACCAACAGTAACTTCCCATGTAGCCCACCCAAGCAATTTCTTTTTTTTGTTAAAGCTTATATAATTCCACCGAGTCTGCATGACACCAATCACCAAAAGACCTGACAACCCGTGCCTTGGGTGGCGCCAGCCTGGCGCGTAGGTCCTTAGCAGCTTAGCAAGAACTCAATTCCCTGCCCAGGATATGTTCAACCCTGAACTTGGGAGCCACTAGACTGCAAGAACCCGCGCGGAAGGCATGCCATCAACCGAGTTTGGACCATGAAAACATGTAGAACTGTTGAACTATATATTATGTAGAAAGATGCTCTTCTGGGTCCGGTGGCGATGTTGAACATGCGCGTCTCGCAAAGTGCCGGAAGAATGCCAATGTTGCCCATCTCAAAGGAAACTGTGCCTACCGTACAAGTAGCTACACAAGGATTAAGGCGAATCTAACCAGAAGCCATAAGTACTCGTGCAGTGTCTCTGCCCACATTCCCCCGACTCTGCTTGGCGCTCGGACGGCCAGCTCCTGAGAGGCTCCCCCAACCCCGAGGGAGATCTTCAGTGACAAGAGCGGAGAAGGGCTGTAGCCCTCTGGGTCTGTCCAATTCCTTGTTACAGTAAGTCCCAGGGTCCCAGGGTGTGACCTCTATGTTGAGAGATCATATTGGAGTCATATAAGGCATGGTGTGAATCTTGGCCAAACTGGAATAAACTGGAAAAGCCAATACATTGGTCATTCCAGCATCGAAATGGACCATGTCTTTGGAACATGTCTTATAGTTGGTATTTTTGTTATTCTTCAAGTCACATCACATCACATCCGGAGTCGGTGCTATTTATTGATGGTTTCCATGGGAATCCCATGTCATTTTTGTGTTTAATGGTAGCTTCCAGCAAAAAGGCCTCACCTCTCCGCGCTGCTCAGCCAATTCGCGCCAGCGAGCTGCCTAGCAGGCAAAACGGGGCTGGTCGAGTATGGCTCAGTGCTCAAACCACATCAAATCGCCAAGAGGGTGTGCATCATGGTGCATCCCGAACAGCGAATACAGCAACTCCGTGATTGATTGACCCTTGTGGAGGGGTCAGGGACTTCTGCTTACGCTAGCCATCCAAGACTAAAAGCTCGCCGCTTTCAATACCCTCTGCCTCTGCACGGGCCGCCTGCCAGTTTGGGGTCAGGGTGCTGGAAGGCGAGGTGACGCACAATCAAAGCCATTGAGCCCTCCCAACCAAGAAGCAAGTTGAGAATGAACAGTTAGGAACCCATGGTAGCTGATCCTTAAATCATTGAATACCGTTAAAAGATTTAAAAAGTCTGGTGCGGAAAGTGAGTCCCGTGCCGCGCGGATCCGTGCGGATCTTGGAGAGTCAATTCAGTTGTGCTGAAGGGAGGAACAATAAGCTACGAGTAGCTCCTGGCCTTATATACTACTAGGAGCAAGAAGCTACTGGTAACAAAGGGCATCGCTACTAGGAGCAAGACGCTACTACCAGTAGTAACAAGAAGCTACTAGTAGCTCCTGGCATCGCTACTAGTAGCAAGGAAGCTACTAGTAGCAAGGAGTCTCTACGCCACTCTTCTTTTCGACTGCGCATCCGGCATTGAAAGCTTCACGGACGCAACTGCCACACTTCTGGCGGGCAAGTACGACCGGCTCCTGGCCAATCGCCAGAGCTGGTACCTGGGGAAGGGCCATGGCTCAAAAGTCATCCAACATCAGGTACCCCTGGGTCTAAATAAGCCATGCCCAATGTGTTTGATGCTGCGTGTGCGATATATGATCGAAACATTTTCCATGAATGTCCGTGCACATTCTACATATTGACCCCAAATCAACACTGTAACCAAACTGTTGTAAACCTGTAGGTTGGGAGGCAACAAAGTAGGTCTATGCAAGCAACACACACACACACACATATATATATATGTGTGTGTGTAAATATGGAGAGAGAGAGAGAGATCAGCCTTGTGCATCTGCTGCTGCAAAGCTGAACCAACGCTCCACATGCCCCACCCACCATCAACATCCATAATTCAAGAGTCAAAACACAATCAATCCTCAGCAGCTTTGGGCAGCTGGCACAAGATCGAAACCACCCTGTTCCCTTCTGCTTCCAAAGCGCATGGATAAACCAACCAACCGCGTTCTGCCTCAGCAGTTCTTAGAGCTTGGCGCGCCACCGCTGCAGTGGAGCCCATGGCGCTTTCTTCTTGCTGGCGAAGGCCATAATGCCATCCCTCGCTTCGGGGCCGGTGAAGAGCTGCATCGACAACTCCTGCACAGGAAGCCAGACCCGCAGGAAGCCAGGCACATGCTTTCTTGCCATAGATGGACTGATGGACTTATCTCAGTTTATCCGGAAATAGAGCCTAAATGTAAGGGCCTATGTATGACCTTCTGGGGCTCCTCACTTGGTCTAAATGGATGGCCTTTGCTGGACCCCTCAATTCCATCGACCACTCGCAGTGACTTACCACAGAGCAAGAAACAATTGGCACGGTAAAAAGGAAACTCATGTCACCGCCAGTCTTATTGTGATCGAACATCTCCCTTCTATTCGTGGAGGGGATTCCGAAACTGCAGGAAGCTTTCAATATGTTTCAACAGCAAAGAATAATGTAAAAAATAATAAACACATATTGTGCGAACGGGTGAAAAGGTGTGCCCTGGCCCCGTTCTAGCCCTTAGTTCAACATGAAGCTCGCGCGCTAAAGCTCCTTTTTACCTGGTTGGGCACTTGAGCCAAAAGTATATGGCATGTACCTATATAGCAACTATACTGGGACCTCATCCCTATTGACACCCCCCACATCCGTACTTCGACGGGGAAGGGAGATGAGTGGATGTAAAAACCGGAGAACGAATCATGTTCTCAAAAGTGTATTGGAGGTCAACCAGCATGTCCTATTGAATTGAGTTGGCAAAAGATCTTGCATTTGCCTGAAAGTCGGATCAAACAGGTAATGGAGCTACAAGCGGAAAACGTGCACCTACCTATGGTATCATGCGATTACCAGCGGTGTGAAACACAATCC